TACGTGTCCTCTGAACCTTTCGTGTACTGAAGCTAGAAATAAGAAAGACTCGCTCACGTGAAGAGATACGTACATGCAAACGCGGGGCGGGTGAGTGCTAAATAGTGTGGTCAGAGGCTGACTCGTGCAGGATTCGCATATTCCCCAACAGGAGATGAGCGAATATGCTGCAGCACGTATAGCACCGTCAGTGCAGATGCCAATGGGTCCGTCAGACAAAATTACGGATGTGTTTATGAGCCTGTCCGAAACTCGCATCATTGATGACGGTGTCCATCTCGTTCGCCTCTTATCTTTTTCTGACTATGATTAGCATTTCGATTATGTCTCACGCTCTTTTATAGATATTAATAAAAACTACCCCATCACTAGCAACACAGTGAATACAATAAAATAGGGCTGTAAATATCTATTATCCCTCAACTTGTTTGCGAAAGGCTGTGATTGAGCTGCATTTGAAAAATATGTATGAAATTTTTTTACTTAAAAATAAGAGAAGCATCATTGAAGAGCTTTGCAAAATAATTGAAAAGAAACTGTGATAGAGAGAAGCAAGCAAAACGAAGAAACCTACTTGTTTTACGGGCGAGGGTGGTGATAAGTTGTGTAAGAGAGGGTCTGCTTGACTCCCTATCTCGAGATCCTGGAATCAAAGATAAATACCCGTGATAAAAAAATTTGGGAAATTACAGCACAACACTTAACATTAAGAAATGACTCCTGATTATAAGCGACGAATACAAATTAGATACAACACCTTCAAGCCGGTTCACAGAGTTTGTCGTTTATTTTCGCAGATCTTTTATTTTTCGGTAGTTGTTTGTCCGCTGCTGATCTGGTCCGCTGCTACCAGATTAGCAGCGGACAAGGGGGAGGGGTCGTATCGAGACCCATTTTAGAGAGGGGGAGGGGGTCGTACTGGGTGTGTGGCGATTCTATCGTCGATGATATCGATATCGTCGATATCGTCGGTCCCACGTTATTTGCTCAAAATTACTGATCCAATTTTGGGCTTTTCGGAACTTGTGAATACGCGGTCTTCGAGACTCATTTGTATGTCGGTAATGCAACTCCGGAATTGTCGCACCGCGCGCGAGACGCCGCGACGCGATGTGCGCGACGTGACCTGACTTGCCGACGATAGAATCGCCCGGGTCCCGGTCGTACTTTGCAGAAATTGGTCATAACGCAATGGCGTGCCCTGGTTGCACCTCCTTCGGGCTAGCCTGATTGCCCCCGATGCCGTCCTTGCATCGAGGGCCTTCGCACATTTTTCACACATTTTTAGCATATTCGAAATGCACATGACATAATTAAACATTGTATTCTGATTGTTCAATTTATTTCCATTTATTCCATTTCCATTTTAAATTCACTACTTTGCAATGAAAAAATCCATGTTTTTTTTTCAAAATGAACTCCTCATAGTTTTTACTTCGGGTAACTGGTTAACAGTTCACACTAAACACTGCTGTAAGCCCCGCTCCAACAGCCACGCCCACTTTTGAGTACAGCCATGATTGTTCAAACCCTGTCGTATTCGCACAGACGCATTCACTATAAAGAGACTGATTGACATTAAAGCAACCTCTCCAACTTTCAAATTTGGGATGGTCCTCAGGTGAAAGTGGCCTTCTATGTCGAGACATAGATCACAGGACGTGGTTTTGAACGCTGGTCTCAAACCTCCTTTCGGAATTCGCAGAACTCTCCTTTGAACTGAATTATAAAGAAGTGTTTGAATGAAGGGACTCAGTCAAAAGAGATCGCCTAGCGATCACCATGCATGAACACACGCGAAGTGAATGCTAATCAGGGGCAGCATGGCATAGTGGTGTTTCTGCGGGCATGAGACGAAGGTAAGGTTGGGGTTCCGTGGGACACTCCTTGCATTTTGCAAAGAAAGCCTCTCTCGAGTGCAGAAAACACTTTTAAGCGCTGATATGGTCGCACTTCACGGGTCCAATCAGTGACCTAGGTGGGCTAATACTAATATAGACTAGTTCACTAGTTCGACTGCCACAGTCTTACTGAGCGCACTTTATGGGAAACCTACGGAACCGGTGATTGACAGTATATCTGCACCGAACTGTAAGAGTTGGCTTGGGTTCGGTTTTTGAAATGCCACCAATTTCTCTTTATTAGCATCTATAAATAATCAATTGCCGATGTTCGAGCTTATCACATTTGTCAAACATCGACCAGTGGTTGAAAGCACGGACAGTTTTGCAATCGTTAAGGTTTCGATGATACCGAAATAAAATGTCGTCGTATTCTAGTCGTTTCGTATCCATATTTAAAACACAGAATAAAACACTTTTTGCATATTCATTCGCTTTTGGTTCTAATCGAATCTCATTGGACAATATTGACTCCCAAGTTTTTCGATGCCGATCCTTCCTTTTTCACTCGAGTTACATACCTTCTTCAGCAAGGTATGCATTGATTCACTACATACTTAGCCTGCAATGACAAATACTTCGAGGCATAGCCGTTATCATCTTATCTATTCTTATTTCTATCTTATCGTCGGGGTATACCAAGGCTCCGATCTCTCCCCACTCCTTTTCGTTGTCGTCATGGATGCCATCACACGAGACCTTCAGAAGGAAGTTCCTTGGACGCTCCTTTATGCTGATGATGTGATGCTTGCATGCGAAGATAAGACCACACTAGAGCAACAAGTGCAAGCTTGGGCTGATCGCCTGGCAAAGTTTGGGCTCAGGTTAAACGTGAATAAGACCGAGTACCTGACAACCGACCCAGCCGAGACGGGCTCCATCAAAATCGATGGCACTGAGCTCACGCGTACAAAAACATTCAAGTATCTGGGATCAGCAATTACGTCCGATGGAGATCTCAAAGCGGAGGTGAGCGCACGGGTGAGTGCAGCATGGGCGAAATGCATGCCTGGGATTCTCTGCGACAGGAAAATGCTAGTGCCCAAAGTCGAAGATCTACAGAAGTGTCGTTGGTCGCCCTATATGGTGCCGAGTGCTGGCCCGCTACCAAAGAAGTCGAAGCCCGTCTGAGTGTGATGGAGATGAAGATGTTGCGTTGGACTGCGGGTGTCACGCGTTTGGACCGCATTTGTAACGATGTCGTGAGCAAGAGGTTTGGCACAGCTTCCATAGCTGAAGAAACGCGCCCTCGATGGCAAGGTCATGTACTTCGCGCAAAGGCTGACACCGTCTGTAGGACTGGCCTTCAGCTTCAGGTGCCCGGAAAGCGACCTAGCGAAACAGCTGGAATTCACCCCGATCAGGCATTTGATCCGGAAAAGTGGCGTCATCACATTAGAAGAGCGGACCCTGCCGCTGAGCGGGACAAACGCTAAAGAAGAAGAAGAAGAA